TCTGTTCTTGATAACCTTAAGGAATCCCATTGTACTGATTATAAAAGGGTTACTTGTTTTTATAGTGTCTATACTATTTACTGGGGTTTCAGAATAGTTTTATGTTTAATTCTTTTTCTATTAATTTTTATTTCTTAATGTTTGGTGTTTTATGTGTTTGAACATAATTTAACTAGAAAAGATTTATAGGGTTAAGATCTTTAGGTTTTCCAGTTACTTAATTTTTTTTTATAATACATCTTTGGTGTTTAGTTTTGTCTTAAAGACTTGGAAGATTTAGTTTATATGCAATGTATAAATTGCTACTGATAGATTATTTTCATGGTTATGCTTTTTTATTATATTTTATCAATAAAAAGTGAGATTGTACTTTTTAGAGACAGATTATCATAAAATAAGATTTTACCAAAAACTGTTTCAAGAATAGTTTTCTACTCCAAATCCTTATTATTTGAATATACTCTTATAAAAAAGAAAAACAAAAATCAAAGTAGAAAGATGCTTCTTATTGAAGTAAATCCTTTTGACTCAATCTGGATCTTACAATTTAGTGATGACCTTTCAAAAAAGAACGTTTACTATTCCAGCAGAACAGTCTAAGCCTGTACCTCCTGTTCCTCAAAAAAAAATAGCACCTCCTACACCTTCAAAATGTGCACCACCTCTTCCGACAAAAAATGCACCACCAGTACCTCTGAAGAAGGTTGTACCACCACCTGGTCACCCAACAATTAGTGAAGAAGAACATGTTCCACCAATTCCTGAACATAAACATGAAGCACCACCAATTCCTGAACATTTATCAGTTAACGCGTCTCAAAGAAATAAAGAAATTACACAAAATAAATCAAAAGAAAAAAAAGAATTAGCTAAAGATATTGCCGGAGATGTTAAAGATGTATATAATAAAATGCCATCTATGACTGAAGAACAAAAACAACATGCTAAAGAAGAGGCTTCTAAGGCTGGAAAAACAGCATATTCTGGTGCTAAGAAAGCAGTTAAAAGTGAAGAGTTTAAACAAGCTAAAAGTCAAGTTGCCAGTGGTGCTAAAGCAGCTGTTCATAGTAAACAATTTAAAGCATTTACTAGTGGACTTGCTAAAGGAACTAAATCAGCTGTTAAAGGAGATGCATCAGCAAAAGATGTTTGGAAAGAGTCAACAAAAGATATACCAGATCTTGACGAAGACCAAAAAAAAGATTTAAAACAACGAGGAAAAGAAGCTAGTAAGACAGCTAAAACAAGTTATGAAAAGGCGTCTCAAACTGAAGAATGGAAACAAGCCAAAGAACAAACAAAAACAATTTCTAAAGAAGTCTATGAAAGTGAACAATTCCAAGTAGCTAAAAAAGAAGGAGAAAAGAAAACTGCTCAACGCATGACTGGAAGAGAAGATGCTGAATTTGATCCTAGTATCACAATGCAAACATCTGTTAAACCAACTATTGTTACTGATGAAAATGGAAAAAAGAAACTTGGAGTTGGAATTACTGTAAAACCTAAATTTGCAATGGATGGTGATGAAATTAACACTAATGCACCTGCTATGACTGTTAACAGTACTGTCGATCCAAAATTAAAGAAGAATGAAGATGGTACTACTGGTATAGACTGGGGAATGAAACCACAAAAACCAGTTGTATCAAACGAAGTACCAAAAGGTGATGGACCAGAATTTTCATTTGATACTAAAGTGAAGCCTAAAGTCGAATATGATGAGTTTGGACAACCTAAAATGAAAATGGACACACAAACGGGTAACTATGGTGCTTCTTGTAAAGGGCATTCTATCAACGAACAACAAATTAAGGAAATTACAAAATAAACCAAATAAGTTGTTCTTTATAATAATCAACTTTAATTTAATTCATTTAATTGAAGAAATTCTTGTTGGATTTCATTCAACTTACCTGATTTAAATAATTCATTCATCTTTTTCATAAAACCTAATGATAAATCATCGTAATATCCTTTTTCTCCCTCTTTAAATGTCCAAGACAGATGTCCACCAGTCTTTGTTGCTAATGGAGTATAAAATGGTGAAACAGATGCAATAGTTCTTGATCGTTCAAATAAGGCACGTGTCATAATAGCAACAGGGTCATCTGCTGAATTAAGAGATATACATGGAATATAACATTTAGGTAGAAAGTGGTGCATTTGTTCTACATCATAATAATAATTTGCAGGACAACCATAGTTAAAAGCCTTTGAAGTAAAACCATCATCAAATTGTTTCATTGATTTTGACATATAAATCTTTGGAACATCACCAACCATTTTTCCTTTCTTAATTTCTTCTAAGAAAGCGTTTTGGTTCTTTTTAACTAATTTTAATTCAAATGAAGAAAACGTTTCATCTAATGCAGGGCATAATGATAACATCATAGATATAAGGTATGGTGATGGTGAAATAGCAACACAACACACAATATTTCTTTCTTTACAAAATTTAGAATGTCTACTAACCAATCCTAATATTGTATTTGCTCCTAATGAATATCCCATTAAGTCTATTGGTGCTGTTGGATATTTTTGATGAATAATATTAATTGCTTGCATAGGATCATCAAATAAGCATGAGTGATATGCTTTAGGTATTTTTAATGTTGTTCCTGCACACCCTCTATTAGTTAATACACAACATCGATAACCTTCTTTCATTGCATAAAATGAATTTCGTTGAATATATGGCTCTCTGCAACCACCAGCAAGCCCATGGAAGATAAGTAGTATAGGTGCGTCTTCAGGTAATTGTTCTTGGTTCTGTCCCCAATCCATAGCAAATTCACCTCCATCAGGAGCATTAACCATTGTTCTGTCAAATTCAATAATTGGGCATTTAAAACGAACCGCACCTCCTATAATAGTTTGAAGAATTCCTCCTGAAATCCAAAATGGAAGGGTGTATGGTTTTAAATATGGTTTTAACGCTTCTTCTGTTTCTTTGTGAATTGGAGAATCAAAACCACTTGCAAGGTTTCTTGGAGTTTCAGTTATAGTAAGTGGGAATGAAATGTATAAACAAAGGAACACAAGAAATGCAATAAGATGGAGAGTAATTAGTGACATAATTGTAAGTAGCATTAATATAATTTGAATGTATTCAATGTAATTTCTTTTTGTGTATAATAAGTATCTTTTAAACAATACAAATAATGTGAATATTACACAAATTGGCATTGGAGCTCCCATACCACAGTAATATTCAATAAATTAATTTAGTTTCATATAGGATTTTTATTAAAATAATAATATAACTTTTTTAATGAAATAAAAGTACTTATTAAATTAATTTTGTTATTTATCTTTATTTATTTTCTCTGTGTTTGGTCAATTAAAATACTATTTTTCTTGTAACAAATAAATTAAGAAGAAATTCACGTGTTACTCTACTTAAAAAGTATTTAATCAAAAACAAACTATAACAAAAGAATGCCTTGAAAGTTTTTCGCTTTTAAATATTAAAAACTATAAGAGTTTGAAAAAAGAAGATAAAATTCTTCCAAATTTGGTTTTTAATTTTTGTATTATATCATTGAAAAAGCTAGAAATTATGTTAAATCACACTCTGGATTAATTAATTATTTAAGACATAGCATAGTATTCACCAACACATTTACTAACTATTCACTTGTTTTTAGAAATATTATTAAAAATTAATTAATTATTATTACCAAGAGTATATAAAATGTAGTCAAATATAAAATATATTTAGTTATTGTATTTAATTAATGGTTGTACTGATTCATAGTAATGATATGAGTAATTTTTTATTTAAAGAGAGTCTTTTTAACTTCAATAAAGTGTTTTAAAAAACAAGACACTCATTATTAGATTATATATCTATGACCCATTTTTATACTCTAACTAATAAACTAATTACTACCTCCTTCTTTAATTTCCAATTATTATAAATTAACAAAGAAAATAAAAAGTGTGAAAGAAGAATTAAAATATATAATTGAACATTTTTATATCATCTGTGATTTAAAATAATTTTATGTTTTCAGAGTTTTTTCAATACTTAAAAATAGTTATAAATAACATAAAAAAGTGA